TCATCACTCACCAAATAAAATTACAAAAACAGTAATAAGTTTATAGATTGAAGATTGATTTATTAGTAGTTTTATTATATAAATATTGAATTTGTTGTTAGAAGAAAATTACAAGATTGCAAAGTGAAATAAATTTCCTACTCTACAATAAAAGAGTTTTATTATGAACATCAGAAATTAAAAAATTCTTAAAATTATCATGCTGTTATTTCATTCAATACATAGCTATTAAATCGCCCTTAATTTTATAAATTTATATTGATAAATAATTCTTAGACTCATTTGATTTCTTTTTTAAATTTAATATTTTCTGGAAACAGTTGCCACAATTTTATTTTAATTCACTATTTAAAATTTAAAATATTATCAATCAGGCATAAATATTAAATAGAACTAGGAATAAATATTTTAAATTAATTAACTTTAAAAATGATAAAAGAATTTTTTTTTATTCACCTCACATAGAAAAATTAAAATTAACCAAAAGAAATAGACGTTAGATAAGTTTGTTTGAACCAAAATGGAAGAATTTGTTCAATATTTTTTAGGCTAGCTGGATGGAAAGGAAAATATTTATAGGAGCAAAATAAGTATTTTTATGAATATCAAAAGCTAAACATAAAATTTCAGCATTCTCTTCTATTGTATTTTTTTTTGTTAAATTATAGTTGGAAGAATATTGGAATACTGATAATTTAGAATAAGAGTATCAAGAATTGTTTCCTCAAATAAACCCCTATTATAAGCCATATCTCTAAAATTATTTAATCTTTATTGCCAAAGAAAATAAATCCATTATATACAATAATAATTATTTCTGGATTTTATTAAATTTAATGTATTTCTATTAATTATAAATTTTCATCTCATTATAATTCCCCATTTATATTTGAATTTCTATAAGAAAATTTGAATTAATTAAATAAACAATAATATCTTATGCAAACAACATTAGAAATAGAAAAAAAACTTTGTTAAGTTCATAAATTAGAAATAGTGGCAGTTGATTTGAAATCATAAACTAGAATAGACGATAAATATTTATGCACTAGGTGTCTGGCTGAGAGAGTTGATAAAGAAAACATGACATTGCTAAATGAAGCTACTGAAATGATATAAAGCATGAAAACCCAATCTTTAAAAATTGCAAAGGAAGAAAATGTACTTAGATTAACTAATTTAAAATAATTATAATCATCCATTAAATCCTTTAAAAACTAAATCAAGACGGAATTAGGAAAATTGCTTCATTTAGTTGATCAATAAATGGAATAGATCCAAACTGAAATTGAATCAAAGGATTCAAAGTTTGAAATCAAAAATTATGATGATGAAATTCAAATTCTATCAAAAAATTATATAGGAAATTTTAGTTATAATATACCGAAATAACAAACCTACAAGGAAATAGATGTGGCCCTTGTTTAATTAATTTATGAATCATTATAATCTTAGTCAAAATCATAAAATTTTATATAAATTATGGAATCCATAGATTAAATAAGATCAAGTATACCAATCACTTAATAGGCCAAAATAAACGAAACGCCTGCAAAAGAATTTGATTAACATGTTATTAATTTATTGATATTCTTAGAAAACTCCATGTCTGAATTAGATATGCAATAAGCATAACAAAGAAATAATTATGTTAAATGTTAATTACAATGAGCCTAAATTCGGTCGATTGGCATGCGTAGAATGTATTCAAGAAAACCCTATTCAATATATTAGCTTAAAAGAAGCAAATAATATGTGGAATACTCTTATTGGAGAATCAGAAGATTTAATTTCTAAACATAATTTTAAAAGAGAAAAAACATTTAAAATGGTTATATAAGAAATCAAATAACTAAAAAACCATTATAATAATTAATTATCAGAAATGTTGTCATCTATAGATGAATAGCTTATTTAAAGTAATTAAGAATTTTAAGATTTCCTAAAATTAGAGAATAAATAGATATTTGAATTAGATGAAAAATAAGTTGAAAAGATGATTGATTTATTAAGTTAATAAGATAAAAATAAACATATCCTTTAGTAATAGGAGAAACAAGATAGACTTGATTATTTATTTTATCAGAATGTCAAATCAAAATTAGAAACCCTTATCAAGCATGATTTACTTTGCAAGTAATAATTGATGACAATTATTTAAGAATAACAAGGTAATTTGTTTTGATTATATTATAGATAAAAAAGAAATAGGAAATAATCCATAAGCTGATGTTAAAATAACCCCTGAAATACAAGAGTTTATATCGAAATGTTAATTGTAAGAGTAATATTTATAAATACATTCTGAATCAGTTGAATTTCAAATTGAATTATAGAAAGAAGTATAATAGCTTGAGTAAAAAGGTTAACTAGAATAATATATTGAATTGGAAGGAAAAAATGATACCGATAATGTTAAATATACTTTACTCTAATAATAATTTAAATAATATGAAATAAATTCAGAAAAAATGAGGAAATTGATAAAGGCTGATGAAAATGAGAAACAATTGTTATTAATTACCAAATAAAAAGAAGAATTGCAGCTAAAAATTGATGAGGAAAAATAAGAAATTAAATAAATTCAGTAAAAAATTGTTGATTTAGAAGAAAATATGAATCAAAAATTCTTTAAATAAGAATAAGAATTTGTTGAATAATTTAATAAAGAAACAACTTAAAATAATGAACTTAAGTAAAATTTATTGGAATTAACTCAGTCTAGTGAAATACGATTGGAATAATTAACTACAAAATATAATGAGTTGAATTAATAAATTGATGATGTATAATCAGAATTAAAAGAAAGAGAGAAATCGTCTGTAGTCTCAGATAAATTATAATCATTAACAAATAGTATTGAAACATAAATTATAACTGTTGATTAAAAAGTTGAGAAGTTAACAGAAAAAATAAAAGAAGTAGATACTTAATAAACTACATAAACTTAATTATAAAAAGAAGAGTTAATATCAAAAATAAATATTGAAATAAATGCAAGAGATTTATTAATTGAAAAATAAAATTAAAGAATGGATTAATTTATATAAAAAAATGATTAATAATTGGCATCGTTATCGGAGTAGATAAAAGAAGAAAATACCGCTCAATTATTATAGTAGAAGAAATTAATTGAATTAGAAAATTAAAATAAATAATAGATATAATAATTGGATGATAAAATTAGGAATTAATTACAAAATATGAATACGGTAGTATAGGAAAATACTAAGGATTAAAAAAACCATGAAGACCTGTTAAAACATTTGGTTCTTTAATCTAAAAATGATCTGTTAAATTTGGAAAAAAAAAACTGCTTTTTATAATAAATATTTCAAAAAAATAAATTTGATTAGATATTAAAACCAAATCTACTTAAAGCTGATTACTGGATCAAAATATTTTATATTTTATAAGAGAGGACTAAAAAAAATATAAAATAGCCAGTTTTGATTTATTAAGGTACAAGAGATGGATTAAATAATTAATAATATTGGAAGAAAGTAAATGGTAAAGAGAACTTACTTATGGTATTTAAATCGAAAAGTGATTATATCTTTGGAGCATACTCTCCTTGTAAATGGGAATCATGTAATGGTAAATATATAGAAGATAATACATTATCATCTTTTATATTTTCATAAACTCATGATTAAGTTTATCCTTTGAAGTAAGATTAAAAATAATATGCTATTTATTGTT